CATAAAGCCATCGAGCCAAATCAGTCCAGCGCAACGCACACCGAGCTTCGAAGAGGAGGCGGATATGCAAGTCATGGAGAGGATTAAGAAGTACAGTGTCTCATAAGTCTCCTGCACGAGAACTGAGTGCACACACACACACACCAGGCGCTCATTTGCGCGTGGATGAGCCTTGAAGAATGCCTGCCCTGCAACCAGGCCCCTAACGGGGTTCACTTTCCGAGAGTTCTAGGAGCGCACACACGCATGGGTGTTTGACGTGTGCACCCAATTCGCGCATGAGACTTATAGGACACGCTTCAGGTTGCAACGGCCGAAATGGCTACTTTGCGCTTCCTACTAAGTTGCCAAGTTAAGACGAGGAACGGTAGAAAACCTCTAAGGTTCACGTAGCTCAATCAACACGATTCAAGGCCATCTAATTGCGCAAGTGAAAAGCGTAATTACACTCGAAGATCTTTGTCTGCAAATTAAAAAATTGATTTTGTACAAGGACAGTGGATAGGCATACAGTAATTAAGACATCGCGATGACGGAGGCATATCGTTACGTGTAAGGCTTTAAAAAGTACAAGTTGGGCAATGAGATATTTGGTCATCAAAAATTAGAACACGCTCCAAATTACAAGCGGTCCGAGTACTTGCCAGCATAGCTTCTCGCAAACAATTATTGGATAGCCACTTTACCCCAAAAATAATGGGTAATGTTTCATCTCAATTGTTAAATTTATTAGGAAAGAAATGCACTCGTAGGTTTAGACCGAGATCCTTTGAAGTCAACAGGATAACATTAGGAACTGACCGAGGCGGGTCATGGCAACAAGTTTATGACGCCCATAAAATCAACAACCTTTGGGGAAACGTTTCACAGATTGAGGTCTTTAGTATGGCGTGGGAAAGATGGTCATCAAACACACATAAGATAGGCTGTGGGAAGACAAAAGCAAGAAGTAACCGAATTTCCGAGCTTTCCCTTACCACTAACTGTAAGCGCGCTTCCTGAAACCAGACGATGGAATGAATTAGAGCAGACTAGCGAAACCAGTGCAGTAAGCTGATTGGACTCACAGACTATATGTCGCATCACCATGTGTGGGACAAACATAAGTAGGAATCACACGGGAATGACTCTCGCAGACCTATTCTGATGGCAGGACGAAAGTGTCTTCTGGCCTCGGTAAACAGGGATGCCTTAGGAGCACCGGGAATAACAATTGGAAATAGTCTTTCTCCTCGGGATCAGCAGGAGTTTCTGTGCTAAATGTTCTATCAAACGTTTAGGACAACTGAGATAGGCAAACGAACATATGGCGTTAGGATGCACAGACAGACTCCCCTCAAGTTTATGCAGCACAATCTGAAGTGTGCCCTATGCTTTTAAGATGTCAATGGAGCATGGGGAAGAAAGATAAAATGGAGCGCCTTTGCAAGAAACGAAACCTTCGGCCGGCATCCATACGTCAACATGTGATAATGGACGGGTGAATGTTAGAGGTCTTTTATTATTGCAAGACTCATATACAAAGAAAATTTGAATTCAGACAGTAAAGTCTTAACGAAAATATTACTTGGATACCTTTCTAATCTAAAGTTGCGAGAAATCCCAAAAAAGGATTCAGAAGACTAGCTGGCGAACATACATTTGTTTTCGATAAATTCTCATCAGGCCAGTACATTTACATGGGAAAGGCATCAAGTAAAACGCGCAGGCGATAAAAGCAATCGACCAAAGTTCTCACACAAGTGACAGATGAGGAGAGGGGGTTAGGAGGCGCCGTGTCAGGAGGTAAAGGGACAGAAAAATGAATGCAGTTCAGCGACTTTTGATCATGGTAATTGCGAAGACTGCACGAGGTCTTGCGTAACCTGATGGCAGTCGCTCCTACTGTTGTTAGCGGACGCTAACCCAATGGCTTACAGTTGTTTGGTGGGAAGGCTGCGTTGGGTCCACATGATGCTCGGAATCAGCAATGTGTGCGATAATAACGCTGCTTTTGCTTCCTATTTCGTCCTTTCTCAGCCACGCCAGGAGGTTCCCGCACTATTAGTGATAGGCGCCGACTCGTGCGACCAATTCAGCCCGCTCCACAGAAGCAGGCAAAAGAGTAAATGCACGTACAGGTGGTATGAGATGACAACTTATCCCTACCTTCTCCGCTTGTCGAGAACAATACCCGAACTTTTCCTGCTAGGTAGATTTGGGAAACAGTTTGGTCAAGGCGTCTTTTCAGGAGTTTACTAGTCGTGTCTCTTGGAACAGGACCTCGAGAAACAAACTTTTACCTTACGTCGTCAATGCGGCGGGTTTTGCCTGTCTCTTGGTAACATTCTTTGCAATAAAACCGTCAGGATACCTGTTCCGACGAAACAGGTCCTGGATCTTTCTGGACTCGTCGTCGATGCCGTCTAACAAACAAATTTTCCCAAACAACCGACTAGATTACATTTCTATTGAAGGGGTACGGAATTGGCTAACTTCATATACCGTCCAGAAAAAGTTTTCATCCGACAGATGCTCTTTCGAAAGTTACCATCAGGTCTTCTGTTTAAGAAGTTTAGGGAGCAAACCTTCTGTTCCCACATCCAACGTAAGCTTGGTCGGCGGACGTGTCTGATTTACAGCACCTAAGAGGGCAGTTACATTGATTTCTGTAGTGGCAATTGAAATGATGTCATCAACGTAGCGAACATACTGCTTTGGCGTATTGGTTTGATCGTTTGAAATCTCTCCAGTCTGCCCATAAAAATATCAGCTAGGAGAGAGCCAAGAGGCGATGCTACAGCATCGCGGTCTATTTGTCTACATTGCTGCACATCTAACGTGCATCGGAGTAACAATTCCTTTACTGCCTTCATCTGTATCCCTATTTCTCGCGGATCGGCCGGTAGGAATTAGCAGATGCAATCGGTGAACGAGACCTTTGTAAAGAGTCATGAGACGTCCAGCGAAAACACCATTCTGTTTAGGTTCAGGTCTCTGACGTCATCAATATAAAATCGAAGATATCCCAACAGTTACGCGGCGCTAGCTGTTACTGTGCAGACTTAAGTTTCTCTGTTAATAACTTCCCTATCACATGATACGCCGAATTTCGCAGGTCTAAAATCGGGCGAACTGGCTGACCATCCTCGCGTATTTTCGGCAGACAATACAATCGAAGGATAGGTGTGCCGACCGGTCGGTGTTCGAGTTCACGGAAGCTTATGAAACTCCCTGCGTGGACAGTCGGGCAGTTGTGCCTCTACGTTGTCCGTGCATCGTTTTTCTTATCTACGTCCCAGAATTCTGGTCTGACAATATAGACTGGAGCCTCGTTAGGTAGTTGCACTGGTATATTATAACGATACCTGTCCCTTTATCTGGCCCAGATACCAAGATATCTTTGTTTTCATGAAGCTGTTTTAAATTCTCCATGTGACTGTCAGAAATCCCCGATTTTTGGTCCCTTTTTAAGGTACTACGTTAAATTGTTGGATACCATCTGCGGAAGCGAGCTTTAGATCGTGGGTTTGGTCCCAGACATACTAAAACTGAGCTTCTAATTCTAACTAACTTTTCAGAACTTAGAACCAAGAGGCCATGCTCGAAGTGGTGTTTATTGTGTGTCCCATGAGAATGGTTGTGTAGGTGTTGACCCGCGTCTTTTGGAAGCATTGACTGAGGTTTCATTTACTGTACCCTTTGAATTCTAAGAGGTCGCTGCGGATATCTCTCCCACCATACGTCAGGACTATAAAGAAGCTTCAGCGGTTACTCTGAAAAGGAATAACTCGGGTGGATTCTGGCTGTTAAATACTCCGTGACTAAGCCTGGAAGAACTGCCCTGCTTCCAGTAGAAGGCTATTATCAGTTCCACTGATTCCGCCTACGGCTTCCAGTGGACTGAATAAAGTATACTTTGGGAGGTCCTAGAGACTAATCGTATCCAGACGTCGTTAGTGTGCTTGGAGAAAGCACACTACTAACGCCTATGCGCAAAGCCTTCGAAGGACCGCGGAGGTATCTGACTGACGACATTTAACAGCCCAAAATGATAATTCCAGTCTATCATGTCTTCCACCGGGAAAGGTGTATTGGAGGCCTGGGGCTCCGAGTAGTCGCTTCGTCTACCCATCTTCAGATACTGGCGCACTTTGATACATGCATGTCACCATGACCTGAATCCCACCCGCCCTCGTCGGCCGCGACGATAGCTGACGGTCCCGATTGTTTCGCGCGTGACTGTTCTCCGTCAAGAATGTCTGTAAAACCAGATACGGAGGAGGCAAGTTGATATGGCAGCTCACAGAACAGCCGACGGGCATCCAGGCTTCTTGTACCGGCCTTGCCGTATGATCATCACCTAGGTCCACCATCCCAACGGCGTCAAAGTCGAAGATGTGTCCCATTTGGGCGGAATGGGATGCTACCTCCGAATTTAGGTCCAACCTTCACATCGCCAACTTATGCTCGAGCATGCGCGTTTGCAGCCGTCGGCCGGTTTCCCTAACGTAGTTGCACATTCCCGCAGCTGCAATGAAGTCGGTAGACAACGGCCGACACCTCCTGTTTAGGGATCGGGTCTTTTGGCCGCACCACTTGCCGGCGGATTGTTGGCGGGCCAGGCATCAAACAAAGTGCGCCATATATGGAGAGCTGAGCGCATGAATTCTTTGTCTCTGAAGGTGGGTAGACGAAACGACTGCTCGAAACGTCAGACCTCCAATACACCTCTCCCAGTGGACGCCTCCTTTTCCTTTGATATGCCACCTGGGAATCGCATTTTCACTACTATTTATCATGTCTTTGTCAGAATTACTTCTCCATCGGATAATTTGGTGACCCACTCTGACAGCCCGGAAAGGAACCTGTCCGCAATGTCACCGTTCCAAACTAACGTCGGTATCGTGGCAAGAGCTGATTAAAAATGCTCGGCCTAGTAAAGGTAAGCCTAAAAGGATAGCTTATTCAACAGTTGTCGGCGTTCGAAAAAAAGCACAACGGTTGCAAAGAGTTGGTTGGGACGTGGCCTCTCACTGCAAATTTCGGGACTCAGTGATACGTGAGGCTAAGAACTATGCAGATGGCTACGAAAATTCTGGTGACAGACAATACTATCATATTCACTGTCGGTCGTTAAGGCGCCAATTCACCTAGTTTTCGTCACCCTAGCCCAGAATATGGGAGTCCGCCCCGAAAAAATCAATGAATTGCAGATGTGAGATACACGGCAGGGTAGCATGGATGGTACCGATCTCAGAAAAGTTAGGTGAGAGTCCGTTTTTAGAGGACCGCCGATTCTTAGGTGAAGGCAAAAAAATTAGCAGAAGGATAAACTTGAGTACTCAAAGCCTA